GGGAGATGTTTTGGTATTCAAACATATAAGCTTCTTTTTTCTTTTTTTGAAAGATACAGTCGATTTAGAATGCTGTGTTAGTTTCTGCTGTATAACAGTGATTCGGTTATACATACACAGATTCTTTTTTCTTTTTTTATTATTTTATTTTTTTATATTCTTTTTCATTATAGATCATTACAAGATTATAGTTCCCTGTGCTATCCAGTTGGACCTTGTTGCTTATCTATTTTATACATCGTAGTATGTATCTGCTAACCCCAAACTCCTGATTTTTCCCTCTCCACCCCTTCCCCCTTTGCTAACCACAAGTTTGTTTTCTACGTCTGTGAGTCTCTTTCTGTTTTGTAAGTAAGATCGTTTGCAAACACAGACACTTTAAGCAGGAAGCACTGACTAACATAAGTTCAGCCAGCCAGCTCAGGTGTATTCAAAGTTTCCAGCAAACTCTTACTTTTGGAAAATAAACACGAGGTCGAGCAATGAAGTAGAAACCTTTCATGGCGCCTGCAGCTAGCTCAGCGAGTTCACGCAGCCGATCCCCACAGTGTCTAGAAATGCCAGCTGTGCTCGGGCTGTGCTCAGTCTACTTAAGAGGTTCTTGACGTAAGTGGACACTTGCAAACCACATGTTCTGTTGTGACATTTTAAAGGTGACAGGACTGTTTTGGATAAGACACACTTGTAAAGGAGAAAACCTATTCATGGCAGGCACTTCTGAGAGTATGACGCGGTTTTCAAAACACGGAGCACAGTTCCCCCAAGACTGTAAGAAGAAAGTCACCGAGGGCTGCTTTTCCGTGTCACATAATGAAGACAGTAGACACTTAAAAGCTGAGGACCAGCTCTCATTTGGGGCGGCACCATTGAAAAGTCCACCTTCTATAGTGTAGGTGCCTGTTATTCAGAGATCTTGCTTTCCTGGCTGTGTTTGGCTTATTAACAGTTAGCTACTGGCTCATGTGGCCACACGGAGTGAAAACTGTATCACTTTCTTTGCTAACAAGTTTTGATAGTGTGTCTTCTCGGAGCCCCCTTCCCTGACCTGCCTGCCTCCCCCTTCGCCACCCGCCTCCCGGACTAAGTGCCTTCTCCCACGTTCCTACAACGCCGTGGGTATAGCTGTGTCTCGTGGCACTTCCTACATCATAATTATGTGGTTTTCTCCTCCCTGGCCTATGAGATCCTGGAGGACTGGGCCCTCGTGTCCATTTTTTATCTCTGTACCCAGCATGGTGCCTGGTATATGATCAGTGCTCAAGAAAGTCTGTCGTCCCAGGGGTGATCAGCTGCTTGCATGAATGACCCACTAACTCTGGAATGAAACAAGACTGAAACACGATTAATTTCTCATCTTTCTCATTGGTTGCGTTGTCAAGCTACCTTGAAAAAGTCTAAGACGTCCCTTCTACTGACTGCCCCGTATAAGCAATGGTCCTGTTCTAGGCTAGCCCGCCACACTCTCCCTTTTCACCATCCCCCTACCTGTCTGGGCTTTGATTTTATTAAAATATTTCTCCTTGACCTCACCACAGTCAAGAGCTATATCATTATGGAAGATTTACAGAAGCCAAAAGAAGAAGTGTGATTGTGATGCTTTTTTGTAAAGTTTTAGCAATCACTTCTTATTTCTGCTCTTTTTTTTTTAAAGAAATCCTGCAATCATAAAATCTGGAAACCACAGTGTCTTGTGTTTATGCACATTGGGATCAACTCTGTGTTGTCTTAAAAGAGCTTTCAATTGCACGAGTTATTTCTAAACAGAGGGATTTATTAAAATTATGTTCTGAAAGCTGGACAGAGTTCTCACAGGGAACACGGTGACCCCTTGCTATGTGGAAAACAGCTGGAAAGAATATAATGAGCAAAAAACAGATGTTACAGTTTCCTTATTCTGAACTCCTTGCTCTTTCTACATAGGTGGTCCTTCCTGTCCTCAGTCAATGCATTTTCACTCTTTTTTCACGTATTCCAAGCAAAGCGGATCCCAAGCAGTTCAGCAGACAGACCCGGCAGGAGATGACCGATTAATCAGGATGGAGGCAAAGGAATGGCAGTGGGGCATAGGAATTCCAGAACCTTCTCCATCTTAGACATTTAGGGTAGAGGTACTCATTCCCGAACACCAGAGGACTCAGAACTGTTGCCCTGTGGACTGAATTTGCCCTGCTGAAGTGTTTTGTTTGGCTGTACAGTGTTTCTATTTTTTATTTTATTGAGCTGATATTTTAAAATAAAGGAATTTCCATGGGAGTATATGGTTTGGCTTTTCATGAACAGTCGTAGGATCGAGCCCGACTGGGTTTGTGTGTCCATGTCGGGATAGCAGCTGCCTCTGAGCAGTGGCTGCATCCCCCAGCCGGGCACGTGCCCCACCTCCTCCCCGCCACCCACGCCTGCCCCGCCCTGCACCTGCCCTGATGTTTTGCCGGTTTCTGCCTGAAGACAATTGAGTTCGCCACCAAGAGCTTCACACCAGGGTCCACTTCCTAGTTGTCATACGGCTTTGAAGTTAGAAGCGATTTTATAAAAAACAACTTCTTTGGGTAGAAGATCCGACTTGAGCATCCTCAGCGAGCAGTCACCTGACCGTCTTTGGCTTTGCTGTGACCGGGAGTTCTCTGCAGCACTGAGAAGATCTCGCCTTTTTTCTTCCCTAGAATCAGCAACTTTTAATTTATGTAAAATCCAGTGTCTCCCAAAGCCCATTCTATGGTACCTTTCTTCCAAAGGGTGTTAAAATTGGTGTGTGAGCCAATTAAAGGAGAATGTCACCAGTCAGACGCATGTATGTTCAGCAAAGAGAAGGTCCTGGGGTTTTTGTTGATTTTTTTTCTTTTTGGCAAAGGACTTCTCAGAGCTTTTAAAATACTATTATGTGTACTGCTGATCTTTAAGAGGAAGATAAATACATGGTCTTTTTTTTTAATAGACAATGTCCAGGCCACACGGTTCTCCCTTCCCACCTTGGTGCTTCTCTGGCCCGTGGAATCCTGGGAGAACCCATTTGATGTACAAGCATGCGTGAGCCCAAGTGCAGGGTTCATCATCTTTTAAGAGACACAACCAGGGTTCTGGTAGAGTTGGTTCATTCAAAAAAGCTGTCTTTAGAGAACTGATATTTAATCTGAGACCTGAGTTATGAGACACTATTAAATAAGCATTAATCAGGAATTATGGCTCAGAGGCTAGGAATACACTAGGAATTATCATCTTTTTTCTCTTGCAGATTGCTCACGGTCCAGTTGAGGAGAGAAATGAATGATGACGACAGAAAGAGGCTAACACCTATTAAGTGTAATGGGAAATATGTGGAATTTGGCCTGAAGACGCTGGTGAAGTTTGGGCACAGGACACGGTGTTTGACAAGGTCCCGAGGGATCCAGAGTTTGCCAGGTGAACAGGTAAGGGCATCATCAGAGTGTGTTTCTCCAATGCGGGGAGGAGTTCAAAATGCTTTTTCGGGAGTCTGTGAGTCCTCAACGGGAGTTGTAAGTTTCCTCTTTGCTTTTAGGATAATCTTTTTAAAGTCCGTTAAGCGCACCTGGATCACGTGTGAGCTACCTTATCCCCAGACACTGATACACCATGTCAGGACCTACATTTTCAAATGTGTTATGATTGCGGGGTATCAAGTAACACTGTCTTCATTATCTGTTGCTGAACAGGAATTCAGGCCCAGTATGTGGAGAGAGATTCTAATTGCTGGATCCTAATTTCAAGACAAGTAGAAAATTAAACTTGTCATGTGAAATATTCTAATTTTTAAATGTCAGAAACTGATTTTTTTCAACATTGTCTGTGGTAACAAAACAAAAGCGCTGACCACGTGCTCGTGACTCTACTCTAGAATGCCTTTGAACCTCAAGGCATCTTTATCCACCTCATGGCCACATCGTCTCACTGCAGTTAGAAGGGCTTGAGGAAATCTGATTCCTGTAATGCTGACCTTGAAAACCCTAATGTATAAAGCTGACCAAAGAGGACAACAGGGGCCCGAAAGAAACTCAGCAGAAGGAAGGGGTGGTCTGGCTGCTGGCCTGAGCTCACACAAGGAAGATGCTGCCTGGGGAGCAGGAGGGAATGGGGGTGACGCCCTCCGGGACCCGTCGTGCTGGCCTGAGCTCTGCTTTGGGAAACGTGGCTGAGCCGTGAGGGTGGACTGGAGGGCAGCCCCCGTGGCTCTGGTGAGGGCTTCCCGGGCAGCATCAGGAGGGTGTGCTCGACCACGGCGTACGGCTGTGACCCAGCAGTGTTGGTGATGAAGCCTTTGGGGTTCCCGGTTTCTCGACCACGTTGTAGGAGTGACGCTCTTTTGAGTGAGAAACCCCTTTTGTCCTTTCCAGTTTTATTGAGATAGAATTGGCATACAGCCCTGTACAAGTTTGAGGTATACCGTGCGATGATACGACTTACCTGCATCCTGATGATTGCAGCAAGTTTAGTGAACATTCATCATCTCATAGAGGTGCAAAATTAAAGAGAGAAAAAATAACTTCGATGAGATGAGAGCTCTTAGGATTTACTCTCTTACCAATTTTCATGTACAACATACAGCAGTGTAAATTACATTTATCACGTTGTGCGTGACATCCTTGGAACTCATTTATCTTAATACTAGAAGTTCGTACCTTTTGACTGCCTTCCTCAAATTCCCTCTCCCCTGACCCCCGCCTATGGTAACCACAAATCTGATCTCTTTTTCTATGAGTTTATTTGTTTGGAGAAGACTCTTTTGATTTGGAAAATTTTGGAGTCTGGATGAGGAGAGGACTAAAGAGGGAGAGTGGACTGTGGCAGAGGCTGCAGGTTACCCCCGTGGCATCCGCGATCTCTTCCTTAGCATCAGCCCTCTCCGGGTTTTACCTGTGCTCACTGCCTCCCAGAACAGAGCCTCACTTCCCAGCTCCTCTTGCAGCTGAGTGTGCTGTGACTAAGTGTCATTTAAAGGGCAGAGAAAAACTGATTTTTAAAAATTGAGTGGTGCCAATAGCTTTATCTATTCATGTTTGAAATCAACAATCATAGATCTTGCACATTTCTTGTTAAGTTTATTCCTGATATAGATGGATAGATAGATGGATGGATGGATGGATAGATAGATATAGATAACTATCAAACATCATTCTAATTGATCATAAACAATACATGACAGCTATTGATTTAAATATATCTGGTTCCTACTTATCCATCTTACCAGGCTCAAAAGACCTAATAATTTAATCGATTGTCTTCAAAGTTATTAAGCTTTGATTTAACAAAACTCATTTTGTCTCTCTTTTCATCTATGAAGCTAGTAAGTATGCAATTGAGAAGATTAGAACCATAGAAAAAATTGACCTTAACAACCAAGGGCAGGCATTATTGTTTTACTTGTGTCAGTTTTCATTCCTTTTTATAAGTCTTTTTTCTAAATTGAAGAATTGTAGACTTACAGTATTGCACCCGTGTCAGGTGTACAACATAGGGGTTCAATACTTTTACATAGTGCGGAGTAACCACCACTGAATCCAGTTACCTTCGGTCACCATACAAAGCGATGACAAGATACATTTGCACAGCTTCTTTTACATAATTGTAATCATGCAGCATAATTAACTGGTATACTTTTTAAACAAGTAAATGTATTTGCTCAAACCATTTTGCTAGAGGTATCTTTGTCTTATAAGGAACCATGTGCTTCTCGCTAAAGGGCAGAGATGCTAATGTCACTTCTACACTGAGATTATGGAGTTCAGTTCAGTCCTCCTTTTGCTGCCAGCCTGGCTTGCTGGCATTTACACCACCTGGTTATAGTTCAGCGTAGCAAAGCCATCTACCATACATAGCTGCTGACCTCACCACACGCTCAGCCCTTCCATTCCAGGCCTCTGCCAGAATTTCTCTCAGGGCACAGGGGACGTGGAGGTGGCTGTGGCTTTATGATTCCATTTAAAAGGCCAACTAGCCAAGACATGGAAGCAGCCTCAATGTCCATCGACAGATAATTAGATAAAGAAGTTGTGGTATATTTATACAATGGAATACTACTCAGCCATAAAAAAGAATGACATAATGCCATTTGCAGCAACATGGATGGACCTAGAGATGATCATATTAAGTAAAGTAAGTCACTTATATGTGGAATCTGAAAAAGTGATACAAATGAACTTATTTACAAAACAGAAAGAGACTCACAGACGTAGAAAACAAATTTATGGTTACTAAAGGGGAATGGGATGGGAAGGATAAATTAGGAATATAGGATTAGCAGATACAAACCATTATATATAAAACAGATTAAAAAAACAAGGTCCTACCATACAGCACAGGGAAGTATATTCAATATCTTCTAATAACCTATAATGAAAAAATATATGATAAAGGATATGTGTATATATGTATAACTGAGTCACTCCACAGTACACCAGAAACACATTGTAAATAGACGAGACTTCAACAAAAATTAATTAATTAATTAATTAAAGCTTCAACTTAAAAAAATAATGCTGACCAGATCATGACACGATACAGATTCCGAAGAACATTTTCAGAAACCATTTCTCACTTGGCTCTTGTTCGCACAAATGTGTATGTGGGTTGGGTTTGGATGGGCTGATTTGTTTTTCTCTGTATTACTTTACATTTGATTTCCTCACTTGTTGGCTTTGTTACCTGTATGGACTGGTCTTTCAATCCTCCAGCCCTCTACTCGTTCACCTTAACAAAGGACTTCAGGTCCTTGGCCTCCTACACAAACTAGGAATCCCCACCCTTTTATCCACCCGGCCAGCTACATCCCAGCACGTGCAGGGTTGGGGCAAGCGTGGGAACAGAGGCCCGCACATCGTAAGTCCAAGCATTTTAAAGGCCCAGCAGGGCTCTGTGCACACGCCTGTGAACACCCGAGTCGGCATGTCCCAGCTCCCTGCAGGCTCCTTCCCGAAAGCCACCTGTGACCTCCTTTGGGGCCTAAAGGTGCACACAGTGGTGGCACACTCTGGTCTAGGAAGGCTGGGGTTCGTGTGAGAAATACCAGGATCCTGGACCCCCTGGAGTTAATGATTGGGGAAGTGCTATGGGCTCCGGTGCGCATGGCCCCTGGGCCCACAGACTCCCGGCTCCTCCAGAAGGGGCGTGGCTGGAGGGAGGAGGCCCTGCAGACTCCAGGCCTGGGGTCTCTCTTGCCTGAGCCTAAGCGTGGTCCTGCCCTTGGCACTCCCTGTTTCCCTTATCCTGCTTAATAGAAAGTACCTACCCATCTCCAACATCTTCTGTTTCTAAGTATGTATGTATCTGCCTCTCATTAATTTCCATGAGGAAGGAACTTTACTTTGTTCAGCGCTTTATTCCCAGCACCCAGAGGTACTCTGAAGAAAGTAGAGGCTTACTCAACATTTACAGAATGAATGGAAAGAGTCTGAACTATTTTGAAAAACAGATAACAACATTAGTGGAGGGGTCACACTGAAATCATAGGAGATCTGAAAAGTTACTCCAATATGTACAGCTAAAGCTATGCATTTTCCTTTAAGTATGATTTTGGCTACATAGACAGCAAATGTAAAGCACTTAGAAAAGTCCGGGCCCATAGTAGGTACCCCCTTTTAAAGTGTGCTGCCATGTATCATATAAAAAGTCCTTAAAATGAGAAGAATTGCCTTAATATTATCTTGACTAAGCATTTCCTAGTGATATTTCCATATATAGTTACTTTTCTTGTCATCAAGTTAAATTCTTTTTCCCAATTTTTATTTATTTTCTTTTTTTTTTATTATTATTGTTTTTTGTTTGTTTGTTTTTTAAAGAGTGGTTTTAGGTTCACAGCAAAATTAAGAGGAAGGAACAGAAATTTCCCATTTACTCCCTTCCCGCAGCACATGCCCAGCCTCCCCCACTAATCCCCATCCCCACCAGATGGTACATTTGGTGCAATTGATGAACCTATGCTGACGCATCCAAGTCACCCGAAGTCCGTGGTTTACATCAGGGTTCGCTCCTGGTGTGGGACCTTCCATGGGATTTTCTTACTGTTACTGCTGTTTGTCTCACTTTTATTCCTTCTCAGCCTGGGCTGCTCTTTAGAGCTGGGAGGCTTGGTACCTGATACCAGGGCTTCAGCCCAAGCCAATTATGTCAGAGTCTCTAAAGTGTGAGACCGCAGACAGCAGGTACTTGAACGTTCCCCAGGTGACTCCAAGGTACAGCCAATATTGAGATTTAAAAACTGACAAAATTGTCCTCTCTCGCGGAGAGCATGCAGGGGCGAGAAAGGCAGTAAAACAAACACAAGTCCTTCATCAGATGGCGATCTGTGCTGTGCAGAGAAAGAAACCAGAGCAAGGGGGACAAGGGAGCACAGGGAGGAGAGGATTTAGCCAGGCCTCTGACTGAGAGTGAATGCACCACAGAGTCAAGCTTGTTAAACAGGAAATGTCAGGCAGATGAGTAGTGTGCATTGCACAGAGATGCTCGCATGGCTGTCATGCAGCTAACAAACATGAAGTGTGATATTCAGCCTTTTCTCCATTCATCTGTAGTGGTTCGAGAATGCTTTTGAAGAACCTGGGGAATTATAAATATATTTTAAATAAATTAGTGACCTGTGTACTATCCACATCTTCTTTTGGCTTCCCCTGCATCACAAATAAAATCTAAATGCCAACATGAAAATAATAGTTCACCCGACAGATGGACTGTCACACTCAAAACCTAAATTTTGGATTAATGTGTATTAAGAAAGTCTAGACCAAGAGGGCATTTATTGACAAACTGAAGTAGACACACTCATTAGTCTCATTTCTTCTAATTCTCTCATGCAGTTGTACCTCCTGCTCTTTAAACAAGCATTGATGATTACTTTTTAGTCCACATGAAGGAGTATGTGGGGGAAAAATTAATGAATAATAATAATAAAAAAGACTGAAATGTGCTTTACTACAGAGCAAGCATTATGTAAGGCAGACATCATACTGACCCACACCACCAAGTCCATCGGAAAGGTTCACATTGAAACATGCTGGTTATGCATTCTTTTCAATTCTATATTTGCATATACAAGCAAGATCTGTTTCTATAAATACATAGTACATAAAACTCTTCCACACACACACACACGACTTCTGCATACTGATCATGTCTTGCCTTCCTGCCTCCCAGGCAAAACAACTTAAATGATATCCAAACCATTTTAAACTGTCCGTAGACACCATGCAACGAAAGTGACTGGCATTTGAGAAACGCAGTAGCAATGTGATGGCCGTGATATGACACGAAAACAATACCAACGCATGCATGGAGTTGTATGTATGTGGTTGAGAGATGATGATGTCTATGGAAAAGGTCTTTTTTTCGGTGGGACTTTGACCTTTTAATTGACACCAGACTTTAAAATGACAGTAGCACAAAGCCGTGGCCCCTGGAAGATTGGGCCTGACGTTCAAAGTGCAAATTTTAACCTCAGAGTGTTCTTAAAGGGTCAAACAAAAAATACTAGATGTTTCATTTGTCTCAGCAAAATAACAAGCTTTAAGAAGTGTTTTCCCCGGTAAAGCTGATTTCAGTTTCCCTGTGAGAAGGAGAATCCCTTAGCGGCATGTAACACA